GGTCAGGTAGATGGGGAGGGGCGGCCATGAAAGGCCCACCAGCGCCCACCTGGCTGAGCTTGGTTTCCTGTGCAGCCCCTGGGGGGTATTTCCCAATCCCCTTCACCTAGGGGCTGGGGAAATTGTGACTCCCAGGCTCTCTAAATATGAGGTGGCACTGTGGCCCACTCAGGAAGTATTTGAGGCTCTGGGTACATGGGGAGACACCTACTCTTTGGAGCCTCAGTTTCCTCACATTTGGTGGGGAAAGGTTTGGGCTGAGGCCCAGAGTGCCTTCTACACCTCCTCAGTCCTAAGAGGGGGTGGGCTTTCCCCAGGGTACCCCAAGATGGCTGCTGCCCTGAATGTCACCGGCCGCCCCATCGCCTTCTCCTGCAGCTGGCCAGCCTATGAAGGGGGCCTGCCCCCCAATGTAAGTCATTCTGCACCCTGCCCGACAGTGCTTCCCACATCCAGGCCTCCTCGCCTGCTGCGTGCCAGGCCTCAGGAGGTGGCCTTCCAGATCCAGATCTCACCACGGCTGCCCACGTGCTGATTTGTAGGTGTTTAAAGAGAGGATCATAAGTACCCCCAAAAAGGGGGGCCGGCTCAGGCAGCCCAGGGTCTTAGAGAAGGGGAGGTCCCTGTCAGGTGAGCTGAGAGAGCAGGCGTCCAAGACAGGAGAGCCACAAGTATAGCACACAGCGCCCAGCAAGGGGTCAGATACAGGGCTCTGCCGCGTGGGCTGGAGAATACACACGGCTGGTGAGGCCAGGCCGGTGAGCTCCTCATCAGAGACCCCTTGGCACACTGGACGCTAGGAGAGGGTGGGCTCAGACTTTCAGACCTGAGGGAGAAGGCTGGTGGGTGCTGGGACTTTCGCTGAGAAAACACGGGAGGCGAGTTTGCCATGGGAGGTTTGTGGGTGCACCAGCCTGGTCCCACACCATGGGTTTGACCCTGGCTGGCAGGAGAGGGCACGTAGGCTCCTAGCCCCAGCATGCACAGAGAGAGACCAGGGCCACCCCCACGAAGGTCTTCCTTGTCCCGAACATGCTGGAGGAGCCTGTTCTTCCCCACCCTTGGAGTTTCATGCTGAGCCTCCTGAGCCCGTGCGGGCCTCTGGGCAGCAGGTGTGGTTCTGGTGCTGGATCTGCCTTCCCCGACATGCAGGTGAACTACACTCGGCTGGCAGAAATCTGCAACCTCTGGCGTAACTACGACGATGTCCAGGACTCCTGGGGTAGTGTGCTCTCCATCTTGGATTGGTTTGCAGAACATCAGGACGTACTGCAGCCTGTGGCTGGCCCAGGTCACTGGAACGACCCAGACATGGTACCATCATGGAAGGGGATGTCCCTAAGCCTACTGTCCATGACAGCTCTGCTCCCCACAGCCCTGTGCACACTTCCTCCCTGGATGCTCACTGCCAGGTTCTAGGTCAGCGTTTCTGAAATGTGTCCCTGAACTGGTTGCATTAGACCCACCTTGGAAGCTTGTTTAGGATTCTGTTTCCAGGGCTCCACCCGCGACCTGTTGCATCAGAATGTTCAGGGCAGGGACTGGGAATGCCCATTGTGAACATCTCCCCAGGCAATTCTGACATTTCTTACCATGGGAGAACTTGGTCTTCAGTGAAATGTTACTCCTCTGCGGGGTGAAGATCATGACTATTCCAGGCTCTTTTGCCATTTCCCAGTGCCTGGACTGCCCTCCCCCCATCTGCCTCTGACTCCTCTCTCAGTGCTCTGTACCCATTGTCCTGCAAAGTCCACTCAGCCCTGCCCGCCCTCCACAGGCACAACTGGCTCTCACTCCTGCTTCTAGCCCTCCCTTCCGTCCGGTGGCTAGGACAGGTGGGTGGCCAGTGGCAGGTGCAGGGACTCTGTCCAGGTCTGTTCCCTACCACTGCCACCCTGGGAGCATTTCTTGACCTGCATGTCCCAGCTAATAAACTTGCTGGCAACAGGATCCCATTTGATCATCTAAACAACCTGTGATGCAGCCAGAGCATATTATTGCCCCCATGTTCTTAATGGAAAAACAAAAGCCATGCTCAGATGGAAGGTGACTTGACTGACTTGCCCCAAGGCCACACAACTGGGCATGGTGTTCATTAATCCAGGCCCCCAAATGTGTCTGTCCTTCTCCAATCCCTGTTTGCTTTTGTTTTTGCTGCAAGTTCAGGGATAGCCCCTATGCCCACCTCCCTGAAGAGGGGAGAACTGACTACTCTTCTCTGTCCCCAGCTGATCATTGGGAACTTTGGCCTCAGCTTAGACCAAGCCCGGGCACAGATGGCCTTGTGGACGATGCTGGCGGCCCCTCTCTTCATGTCCACAGACCTGCGTACTATTTCTGCTCAGAACATGGACATTCTGCAGAATCCACTCATGATCAAAATCAACCAGGACCCCTTAGGCATCCAGGGACGCAGGATTCGCAAGGTATCAGGGTGTCAGGGGAGGGAAGGGGAGGGTTAAAGAATTGGGCTCCGCTGAGAGCCAGGCAGCCAGGCTGGAGGTCACCTGGAATGCAGGAGGGAGCTGGGCCTCCTCGAGCCACCCCTCCTGGTTGCATGTGGCTGGGACTCTGCTGGGAGCTGCTCCAGCTGCTCCCCTCCTTGCTAGGTGAGAGCAGGATCAAAGAAGGACAGCTCAAGGGAGCCGGGGAGGGGAGATGTCACCACATAAGTGCGCAGGGAAACAGCACAGAACACCTGTGCTTCTGCACACACCTGTCATGCCCTGCAGTGAACTAGGGCTTCCCTCCAGAGTTTAAGGAGTTATTCTAGCCAAGGAATGCTGCTACCACTACTAGTGTCTATGATTTATTGAGTACCTACCGTGCGTCAGGCATTCTAGATACATTTTCTTAGCAAGCCAGATATTCTTTCTCTGTTTTACAAATGAGGAAACTGAAATTTTCAGAGTCTAAGTAACTTTACCCCAAGGCTACACAATCAGCACAAACAAGACTGGACTCCAAGTGTTACCCCAAAGCCTTTGCTCTTTACCAGATCCCTGACACTCTAGTAAAAAGGCATCTATATTGGCCTATTAGGAACTGGGCTGAGAAAAAAAAAGACATCTACAGAGCTATAGAAGGCCCCAACAGAACCGGTGAGGGGGCCACTAATCCCTGCCACAGGGCAGACAGTGGAGCTGAGCCTGGAGAACTTTCTAGGGGGTGGGGCAGATGGGAATTCACCTCCAGCCCACCGTGTGCCCTCCTGGGCAGAGTCCTCGCTGCCACTGGACATTTCCCAGCAGTTCAGCATTGGCAGTTGTGTAGGCCAGACCCACTCACACGCTGTGCTGTCCCCTGCTCTGCTGTCTGTGTTTAGCCCTCTTGTCCTATGAGCTGCTGAGGCAGGGCCTCCTGCAACATTTGCCTCTGTCCCAGCACAGGGCCTGCTCAGTCGGTGAGAGTGAGTGTCCGCTGAGTCAGGGAAGGAAGGAAGGAAGGAAAAGTTAGATAAGCTGGGGTGCAGGAGGACTGTGGCCTCTTCCCTCAGCCTCTGTGTGACATGGACCTGTGGGCTGGGGGGACCCAGGATTCAGGGAGGGTTGGGAAGGGGACTTCATGGCCTGTCTGAGCAAGGGAACCCAACCAGTAGCCATCTTCTGTGCCCAGGAAAAATTCTACATTGAAGTGTTCATGAGGCCCCTGTCCAACGAGGCCAGCGCCTTGGTCTTCTTCAGCCGCAGGACAGATATGCCTTATCACTACCGCTGCTCCCTCTCGATGCTGAACTTTAATAGGTCCCTGACGTATGAGGTGAGTGCCCTCCTGCCGCAGCCAGTGGCCCAGCCTTCAGGCGTTGCTTTCCCCGGGAGGGCGCTGCAGAATCCTTGCTCACACGTGGCCTCCCTGGAGCCGTGGCTGGGGGCAGTCTGGCAGGTGCCCCTGGGGCAGCTGTCGGCACTGAGGGCTGCCGCTGGTTCCGTTCTCTACATCGGTGTTTTCAAGCTATGCAAACAGAACTGCTGTGTGTAGGCATGAGTCCCATTCATTCTATTTTTATTTTTTTATTTTAATATTTAATTTTTCTAGTAACGTGCAGTACTGCACCTGTTCATTCTAGAGCTGTACTTCTGCCCTCGTTGGTCAGCCCTTGCTGGCACACACAGTGTTTTTGGTGGGCTGGGGCCTTCTCCACTGCCTGTGCTTGGACATCTGTTGGCTTTTCCAGTGGAGAAATGACGAGAGATTTGGCCCTCCCACTTATGTAGGGAAAACTGGAGGCCTCGCACAGACAGGCTGAAGCCCAGGCTTCTGCATCCTCTGAAGGGGTCTATGTGCAGCCATTCTCATGGTGGCACTGGTGATGTCCCTCCCCACTGCAGGCCGAGGATGTCTACTCAGGTGATGTCATCACTGGCCTCCGGGAAGAAACCGACTTCACAGTGATCATCAACCCTTCGGGGGTAGTGATGTGGTACCTGTATCCCATCAAGAACCTGGAGATGTCCCAGTAGTGATGAGCTGGGACATGTAACAGGCTGTGGCAGCACCACTGAGCCCAGACCACAGAGCCTCGGCATGCCAAGGGCAAGTGGGCAGGGTTCTCTGCTCCCAGGCCCGCTCAGAGAGTTGACCCCATCGAACCTGAAGTGCAACCTCAGGGCCAGATCCTATGCCCTGCGCAAGTGTGAATCTTCTTGGAAACTTCTCTTGGGTCAATTTCCTGTGGCTTTCCTGGCCTCTACCTCGTCTGCATGGCCCCGCAGATGTTGCTCAACAACTAGGTCAGCTTCCTAAGCTCCCATGCCCATCAGGACTCTGGCCTCTGATCGTGTTGACTCTGAAATCAGGATTTGGAATTTTTCTAATTAGGAGTAGAGAAATCTGACGTGTTATCAGGAACTCCCCTGAATCGTGTGATTGGCTTTCCTACCCAGACAAGGCCTTGCAAGCTGATACCACCTGGGAGTGAGGGTCAGAAAGGAGACCTTGGCTCCCTCAGGTCACGAATAAAGCTGTTCTTTAATCAATTAGCGTATTATGGGTCTGAGGCCATGGGCACCTTCGGTTAGGGAGCCTAGTGGTTCTACATGGGGTGCTGGTTTCAAATCGCACCTCACATGGACAATATATGGCATCTTCTGGCCCCTCATTTTCCAAAGTGACCTACAGATTATACTTCCTAGAAATGCCAGACTTGCCTCACACTGGGAAGCCATCCCTGCTCTGCCTAACATGGTGGCAGTGACAGCACAATGAGGCAGAGTAGCAATGCTCCCAGGCCCTATGGCACATCTATGCCCAGCAGTGTCCCCTGGCCCAGCACCTTAGCATGTTCTCTCTGGTGGCTCCGTCCTCACCCCCGCTTCTCTCCCTTTATTATTTTTCTCCCAACCTAGCCATAGAGGAGATTCAAATTCCCCAGCTGTGTACACAAACAAGTCCAGGGATTCTTTGTCTTAAAATCTATTTCCTCTCCTCCTGAGGAAAAAGAGCAACAAAGTGGAAGAACAACAGGTTCTTCATTTTGGCTATTTCCCAAGCACTCCTTTGGCCAAGGCCACGGGGCACCTGTCTTCCCTGGTGGCTCCTTCCCATCTGGCACGCTGGCGGCAGAGCAGGCTTGAATGTGGAGCACCCAGTGCCCAGGCCTTGCCCTGTCCTGCCCTGTGGGATCTCTTCTGGGTGGATTTCGCACACTCCCTCCCTCAGGGTTTTGAGGTCTTTGCATTTAGAGTATAGTGTAAAGAACTTACAGCTGCACACTTTATAATGCCATTTAAGATTACTGGAGCTTTGCTGGTTAAATCTAGAGTAACCAGAGAAAGCTCCTTTCCCCAGTTGATGTCTTGAGGCTGTTGAATCTGAAAGAAGAACAGAAGCTTCCCTCATCCTGGGCCTCTGTTCTTGAAGGCCTAGCACCTTGGGCATAGCTCCAGCTTTGGGTCTCAGTGTTAGTGCTGTTCAAGCCAAACAGAATAGTGTCAGGTGGGAAAACTTCTTCTCTTGACAGCTCCAGGAAAGAAGTCTTTCCCACCACCCTGGGATGTGGTGGAGTATCAGGGTTGAGACCATAGACTTGAGGCCAGGATTGAGCCTGAACTTGACCAATCAATTCCCTTGACTTTCAGGTCTTTTTTCTTTTTCTTTTTGGAGACAGGCTCTGTCACCCAGGCTGGAGTACAATGGCATGGTGTCATACCTCACTGTAACCTTAAACACCTGGGCTCAAGCAATCCTCCCACCTCAGTCTGCTGAGTAGCTGGGACTATAGGGGTACACCACCATGCCTGGCTAATCCTTTGCCATTCAAACTGAGATGGTTACCATGTTTTACTTGCTATGTAACTTGTTCTTTTGTCCTGGGGGGTGCCTGATTTATTCTGTCTTTTTGCCTTTCATTCTTTCAACACACATGCTGCCGATCTTCCAGGACATTGCTTTATTCCCTTCTACTCAAGGCCAGTTAGGAACTCAATTATTTTTTTCCAGTTCAAAGCAACCTTGCTTGGACCCAGATGTATCCCTTCTCTTTTTTTTTTTTTTTTTGAGACAGAGTCTCACTTTGTTGCCCAGGCTAGAGTGAGTGCCGTGGCATTAGCCTAGCTCACAGCAACCTCAAACTCCTGGGCTCAAGCAATCCTTCTGCCTCAGCCTCCCGAGTAGCTGGAACTACAGGCATGCGCCATCATGCCCAGCTAATTTTTTCTATATATTTTTAGTTGGCCAATTAATTTCTATTTTTAGTAGAGACTGGGGGGGAGGGTGTCTCTCTCTTGCTCAGGCTGGTTTCCAACTCCTGACCTTGAGTGATCCGCCCACGTCAGCCTCCCAGAGTGCTAGGATTACAGGTGTGAGCCACCGCGCCCGGCCTCTTTTCACACACACTTTTCTGACGTGTAAGCCAGAGTATTTGCAAGCAAATCTCAGAAAACCCTAAATGCCACTATGTGTCTCTAATAGGGGCTTTATATGTATTTATATAAAAATATATATATATAAAACCTTCATGGAATTTTTCTACCAAACAAAATTTTAAAATAATGAATAATTAGTCTAATAATCAGTCAGTGTTCAGTTTTTGCCAATTGTTTCAAAAATACCTCCTTATTGTTTGTTTGAATCAAGATCCAAGCAAGGGGTTAGCAAAAAAATGGTTCAGTGAGAACCACTGAGGGTTTCCTGCCTTCGTAAAATGATGAAAAACCTGGTACATATCATCAGAATCAGCTTTCACAGAACTCTGGAAATGAACCAAAGGCTTGTAGCAACCCAAAGAGCTTTCAGTTGAGAAAAACAAATTGCAGTAAGAACAGCAAGATCTGTGGTGTTTTAATTTACCCTAGTACAAGATTTAAAATCAACTATTTTAAATACAAAGAGCTGAAAGAAATATAGGAAAGAGTAAGAATTAGGTCTCAACACAGAATAACAAAGAAGAGGCAGACATTTTTTAAAAATTCTAAAATTATAAAGTACAATAACTGAGAAAAAAAAATTTACTAGGAGGTTCAAGAGGAGATTTCACCTGGCAGAAAAAGAATCAGCAAACTTGAAGATAGGTATGTGAAATTAACCGATTTGAGGAGCAGAAACAAACAAGAATGAAGAACAATGAACAAAACCTCAAAGACTTCCTTTCTCGCTCCCTGGCCATCTTGGCAGCTGGTCTTGGTTGGGGGCCATCCCGTACACCTAAGGAAGGAAGATAGTGGCCACAAAGACAACGAAAAAGTCACTGGAGTCAACGCTAGGCTCTAACTTGTTATGAAGAGTGGAAAGTATGTGCTGGGGTACAAGTAGACTCTGAAGATGATCAGAGAAGGCAAAGTGAAATTGGTCATCCTCGCCAATAACTGCCAGATTTGAGGAAATCTGAAATAAGAGTACTTACTATGCCATGTTAGCCAAAACTGGTGTCCATCATTACAGTGGCAATAATATTGCACTGGGCACGGCATGCAGAAAATACCGCAAAGTATGCACACTGGCTACCATTGAAGCAGGTGACTCTGGTATCATAAGAAGCAAGCCAGAACAGACTGGTGAAATGTAAATCATGCAAAATTTTTCTTTAATAAAACTTGCCAGAGCTTGATATGTAAAAAAAAAAAAAAAAGACAAAAAACCCTCAAAGACTTTGGGAAACTATCAAGTGTACTAATATACACATTAAAAGAAGAGAAAAAGAACATTTTTTTGAGACAGAATCTCACTCTGTTGCCCAGGCTAGAGTGCTGTGGCATTAGCCTAGCTCACAGCAACCTCAAACTTCTGGGCTCACGTGATCCTCCTGCCTCAGCCTCCCGAGTAGCTGGGACTACAGGCATGTGCCACCATGCCTGGCTAATTTTTTCTATATATTTTTAGTTATCCAGCTAATTTCCTTCTATTTTAAGTAGAGACGGGGTCTCGCTCTTGCTCAGACTGGTCTCGAACTCCTGAGCTCAAACGATCTGCCTGCCTCAGCCTTCCAGAATGCTAGGATTACAGGCATGAGCCACAGTGCCCAGCCAGCTCTTGCCATTCTTACTGAACATTCTACTGGAGGAGCCAGGCATAATGGCTCACGTCTGTAATCCTAGCATTCTGGGAGGCTGAGGCAGGAGGATCTCTTGAGGTCAAGAGTTCGAGACCAGCCTGAGCAAGACCCTGTCTCTACTAAAAATAGAAAAAAAATTAGCTGGGTGTGGTGGTACACACCTGTAGCCCCGCCTACTCAGGAGCCTGAGGCAAGAGGATTGCTTGAACCCAGAAATTTGAGGTTGCAGTGAGCTGTGATGATACTACTGGACTCTAGCCAGAGCAACAGAGTGAGACCCTGTCTAAAAAAAAAAAAAAGGAGTCCCAAGCAGTTCTGAGAAATTACTCCCCACCACAGTCCCTGGAGAGGCTGCATAGAGAAGGAACCCCACAAACAAAGACCTTCCAAGTGAAAGAGACGCTTTACCTCCTCCAGTTGGAACAAAGCCATCTGTACTGACTTTGGTTTGTAAAATAAATCAAGATGATTTTTCTTATTAAAAAACTGCTCAGTTTATAGAATAAGAATAATGAGATGGTGATTTAGTGTTATACACACACACACACACACACACACACACACACACACACACACACACACTCTAATACCTTATCCTGGCTCCACTTAACAGCTATGCAATCTTGAGCAACCTATTTAATCTCTCTGTTCTTCCATTTCCTCCTCTGTAAAGTGGGGATGATAATAGTTCCTACCTCACAGGATTGTTGCTCAGGAATTAAATGAACTAATTTAGGTAAAGCACTTAGAATGGCACCTGAATAAGTAATTATTCAGGCTCAGGCTTTTCTACATGGTGGTTTTTACCACTAAGCCCTGAGCCCTCAGGCAGCTAAAAAGCTGTGAGAAATCACAGGCTCACCCCCTAGATGAGTCCCCACCTTTTATCCCCCACTCTAGCCCTTGAAAGGGCAGTTTTAGGTTTCCTAAACAATCAAGCAGAAAATATAGGGTTTCTATATACCTTCTCTTCTCCACTGTTTCCCCTATTATTAACATTTTAGTGTGGTAAATTTGTTATGATCGATGACAATATTGATATGTTATTACTAGCTGGAGGTTATAATCCACATTAGGGTTCACTCTTTGTGTTTTGTATCCTATGCTGTGGTCCCCAAGCCCCTGGCCATGGACTAGTACTAGTCCGGCCTGTTAAGGACTGGGCCGCAGAGTTCTGCTGCCCACCTACCATCCTCCTCGTTCGTGGAAAAATTGTCTTCCATGACACTTAGGTGGGGGGCCACACAGCAGGAAGATGGGGGGAGAGCGAGTGAAACTTCATCTGTATTTACAGCTGCTCCCCATCACTGGCATCACTGCCTGAGCTTGGCTCCTTCCCCATCCATGGAAAAATTTGGATAAACTGTCTTCCGTGAAACCGGTCCCTGGTGCCAAAAAGGTTGAGGATCAGTTTTCACCAATGTGTAATGGTGTGTATCCACTGTTACAGTATCATACGGAATAGTTTCATTGTCCTAAAAATCTTTCCGTCCCTCTTTCCCCTCCTCCTCCTGGAAATCATTGATCTTTTCGCTATCTCCATAGTTTGCCTTTTCCTGAATGTCAGAGTTTAAATTGTACAGTAGGTAGCATTTTCACATTGGCCTCTTTCACTTAGCAATATGCATTTAAGATTTCTCCATATCTTTTCGTGGCTTGATAGCGCATTACTTTTTAAGCTGAATAATATTCCATTGTATAGATGTACCCCTATTTATCCACTCGCCTATTCAAGGACATCTTTGTTGCTTCCAGGTTTTGGCAATTATGAGTAAAGCAGCTATAAACATTTGAGTGCAGATTTTTTTATGGACATAGATTTTCAGCTCATTTGGGTATACAGCAAGAAGCACAATTGCTAGAACATATGGTAACAGTATAATTTAGTAAAGTGTCAAACTGTTTCCCAAAGTGGCTATACCATTTGTACTCCAATCAGCTATGAATGAGAGTTCCTGTTGCTCCAAATCCTCACCAGAATTTGGTGTTGTCACTGTTTTGAATTTTCGCCATTCCAATAGGTGTGTAATAGTATCTCAGTTTTAATTTGCAATTCTCTAATGACATATGATGTTGAGCATATTTTAATATGCTTCTTTGCCACCTGTTTATCTTCTTTAGTGATGTGTCTGTTCAGGTCTGTTATCCATTTTTTAATTAGTTTGTTTTCTTATTGTTGGTTTGTAAGAGTTCTTTCTATATTTTGGATATGAAAGGTGGCAGGATGTACCGCCCTAAAATATACCGTAAAGATTACTTTGAGCTAAAGGCAACCTGAAAAATGGCAGATGCAAGGAGGGCATTCTAATTTTCCCCTTTTCTTCCTGAAAATAGGGGATAAAAACCACCATATAAAAGAGGCCCTCCATGTACTAGGAGAAAAGAAACATTTTTCAGATCAGTAGCTGCAACACTGGAAAGATGGCGGAGCAAGAAGAAAGGAAAAGAATCCCTTTGGTTCCAGAAAATCTCCTGAAAAAGAGGAAGGCTTACCAAGCCCTCAAAGCCAGCCAGGCAAAGCAGGCACTTTTGGCAAAGAAGGAGCAGAGGAAAGGAAAAGGGCCCAGATTTAAGCGACTGGAATCGTTTCTACATGATTCCTGGCGGCAGCAATGCGACAGGGTGCGTCTCAGACGACTAGAAGTAAAACCTCATGCCTTGAAGTTGCCAGATAAACATTCCTTGGCCTTTGTTGTACGCATCCAAAGGATTAATGGGGTGAGCTCACTAGTGCAAAAGACCTTCACGAGACTTTGCCTAAAGAAAATTTTCAGTGGTGTCTTTGTTAGCGTCACCCCGCAGAGCCTAAAATTGCTGCGTATGGTGGAACCTTATGTGACCTGGGGATTTCTAGATCTGAAGTCTGTCCAGGAACTCATCTTGAAACGTGGACAAGCCAAGGTCAAGAATATGACCATCCCTCTGACAGATAACACAGTGATTGAAGAGCACCTGGGGAAGTTTGGTGTCATTTGCTTGGAAGACCTCATTCATGAAATTGCCTTCCCGGGGAAGCATTTCCAGGAGATCTCATGGTTCTTGCGTCCTTTCCAACTCTCAGTGGCCCATCATGCTACCAAGAATAAAGTGGGCTTTCTCAAGGAGAGGGGCTCACCCGGCTATCAAGGTGAACGCATCAATCAGCTCATCCACCAGCTGAACTAGACCCAGAATATCTGAAAGCACAGTGCATTGAGATCATGTGTTTTTGAGTTTTTGAATTATGAAGTATCTTCAGAGAAGATTATTTTCACTCTATCTTCAAAAACAAAGGGAAGAGTCAGGGAAAAGACAGTTGGTTATGCTCATGGCAGGAACCTCGCATCACAGTCGAGTTCCAAGGAAAAATTCCAGTGTTTTCCACTTTGGCTGCTGCCACCTCTGAAATCACATTCCATGGAGAAAGGAGTCCTGCTTTGTCAGATCTTCTATCCTGAGGTGTTAAACATTGGTGAATAAATGACTCAAGCATGTGTATGAGGATCCCTAAGACTCCTGCAACAGTGGTCCGAGTCCAAATGCATACTTGAATCTGGGTATTCCTAGGGCTTTGTTTTGAAAAGACTTGAAATACAATTGGGAAGGAGAATACAAAAGTCAGCTGTTTCTTTGAATCCATGTTCTAAGTTTTCAGGGATGGCTTTGAGAGCTCTCAGACATGGCTGGCCCTAAGTGCATCTGGTGGCTTTTTTATCCTAGCCTGCAACCGGTTTAGTCCCTTTCTCTAGTTCAGGATTTGAGAATAAATGACCCCTTTGATGGGTACACACATATACTCAAAATTTTGCTTATAATTTGTGCACAGACTCTTCTCTCCATGGACCTTTGCACTTCATGTGAGGAAGTCCTACTTTTCCCAGGATCGGTCACCCAAGCCCTGATCTTTCTAGTCTCTGGTTCCCTTGTCTTATGGAAGAGCAAAGCTAACCAAGATAGCTTTTCCCCTTCACAGTGGCAGATTGTGTTTCTCCTTGCACTATCAAGCCTGGGAAAAGCTCACCATTTCTCCCCCTTCCCTGCCCAACCCCTCCTGGGGGTTCAGGATGGGATTTTCTGGTTTCTCTGAAGATCTTCTTCCTCCTTAAAACCAAGCTCAGGAAGGAACAAACCATTTTCTTGGTTTGGCATGGATGAACTTAGCGCTATTTGGCTTTTTAGGCATTTGGCAGGCAGCTTAATTGACCTTTTTCTTGCATATTCTGGACTCCAGAAGTATTCCCCTTTGTCCTGCTGGTACTGTGGTAGACCAGCAATAGGCTTTCTGAGGATGTTATCCTTAAAGAAGTCAGTCTGATACTGCTTGTGTTTTTTCATCAGTGTCCAATTCTAAGCAGGCCTTCACTTAGTTGCCTCAGCTTGCCATCTGAGCAATTGGTGAAGATGTGCCAGGCCTAGGTTAAATTTGGAAATAGGCTTGAAAACCAGTTTGTTCCTGGTCCTTTCAGGTCAGGTTTGCTGCAATTTTGGCTCATGGGGCCCTCAAACATAGCTGTGAAATTGAGAGGTATAACAGTGCCTTAAAATGTGCCAGGTTATGAGATAATTAATTAGGTTGGTTGGCTCCAAAGTTAACCTGTCAGCAATAGATGTTACAGATGTTATTCTTATATTTTAAAACATTGTGAAATCAGATTACTTTAAAATGATGTATGGCAAAGTCCATGGGAAAAAAGCAGTTGTGAGTATGGAAGCCTAGGGCTTAGAT